AGACAAACGCCGGTCCCGTTCATTCAAAAAAAGCACCAGGAGCTATATCACTCTCGAGAACTAGCCTCCGATCCTCGTTATTCGACCCTTGTCACGAATCAGACGTCAATTTTTAACCACATCTCGTCAACACTATCTCTTGGATACATTCTGTGTTAAAAATCAGCCAAAATGCAGCTCAAGAGCCTCTTCGTCATCTTGGCCACTGGTCTCATGTCCATGGTCGCGGCCGACGCCTTGGGCGATGAGACCACAACGAGCACCTCCACAATGACCAAGACGGTCACCATCACCTCTTGCAACCCCACCGTCACCGACTGCCCGGCTCGCACTTCCACCTCGGTCCCGGTATATCCACTGTCGAACTCGACCTCCTCCGCCGGCCCTACCGCCTACAGCAACTCGACCAGCAGCTTTGTCATCTACACGTCCTCGCCTGCGCCAACTGGGACTCCAGGTGGATCGTCCACCCCAACCAAGTCGACGACAGCCACTTCGTCGCTCGCGACTGGCGGTGCTGGCAGTCTCTTTGTCCAGTCTGGACTTTTGCTCAGTGTTCTGGGCGCCGGGGTGGCTCTCCTGGCGTAAAGTAGAAGCTTCTCGGTAGCTCGGGAATCAATATGTATAGCTAGGAGGCCATCTTCTCATACATACTCGACATATTCATTATCCCTCCGATCTAGAGACGCCCCTCACGACTGCATCTGAACCGCCCACTTGGCGTTGGTTCTTTTGGTTCACTTCTATCATTGCCACATATTGTTCCTTTCTCCGGGGAAGTGATGTTTGGAGTATTTTTGGATGGAGATTAGGGGGTTCTGATACCCATGGGAAGTTCTGTTCTGGTTTATTCACACCGGGCTACTGGACTGGCGTTGTTGAATAAACATGATACCCCCAAGATATGCGTTCGCCGTCCATCTTGAGGAGTTGATTAAAAATTCGTAAAGAACCAATTAGGCAGTCTCATGCGTTGTTTGCATGGGCGTTTGCACATAACGCCCAATGATCAACGAATTAAAAACAATTGACAAACTCGCAATATCTCTCCCAACACATGCTCTCCCGATTTGATGTCACTTTCCGTCTAATGACCGATGCCGTACCAAGCCTCGATGCACCGCCACTGATGCCGTTGGTCATTTTCTCCAAAGGCAAATCTAACAGATTCCCAACCAGAGATTAAGTACGTACGTACGTACACTTAGCACGAAGGCTGTTAGTTCCTAGCGCTCTTCCATCGACTTTAGCTGGTGCGAGGTGATGCCGATGGCATTGGCGTTGGCGTTGGTTAAATCTATTTTTAAAAAGTTACCGTTGTTTGACGATGGATGATCCGGTGCAGCTTTGCGGCTTGCCAGGCTTTGCGCCGTTCGGTTAGACTCCGATGAGCGGAAATCCGTCCAAACACCGACGCAGGACCGACCGTGCCTCGACATCGCTCTTGCACTTTCAAGTTAAAACCCTTGAAATGTCTTGAAGGAGCAGTAGCCGGGCCACGCTCCCACTTTAAAAAATACATCCTAAACACATAGTTCCTCGTTACCTGCGGTGCCTCCGGTTTGTAAATGTGTCGGGCTTTCGACATCGATTTCTCAGCCAGACATATCCCGTCACCTCTGGGACGTGGGGGGCTCCTTCTTTTTTCTCTTCCTCGGCACAGCTCACATCTAAAGATTGGCCCCCGTCCCGTCCCGTTCAAACCTCAGCCCAACAGTTGTACCTACATACTGAAGTGCCCTGGCCCTGGCTTGCCTGACTTCCTGTTCTTCATCCAATGTCTCACTAACACAGTCCCGCAGTCCCGCAGTACTGTACCCCCGTGTATCGGTCTTAAGTATTCTAGCATCGAAGAGAGGGGCCGGTCTACAACCCACCCACTGTCACACCGACGTCCAAAAAGGGCGGCGATTCCTCAAGGGGCTGCTTTCGTTGAATGCCGCCATCCTGGAGTCTCGCATGTTGGAGTGATACTCGAGAGTCTCGGGGTTGGGTATTGCTTGGCGGCCTGAAAACATGTCGAATATTCTTTAACTACCACCTCGCTCCTCGCTGCATCCTCCGCCGTCCGAAATCTGCCATCCCGCTTGCACTGCCCAGCCCAACCGCTTGACTGCAAGTTATCCAGTCAGCCTAAGTCCCTCCAGAAACCGGGGTTCATACCATCAATGGTTTTCTTGAGAGGCAAAGGCCCTATGCCACAGCTACCCGGCTCCTACCGTTGTTCCTCGCCTTCCACCTGCCCGGCCGACCTCGTGGCCCAACGGCGGCGGACCTGGTCACATAACCCAACCCCCGCCACCAAGCAGACCTCTAGCTTCTTCGCCTCGAGACTCTGGCTTACACCCAATCTGTCAAGGGCATTCTCCCTTTGCGCAATTGTCGCAAAGTGCTTTATCTGCTGCTACGATGGCCGTGCAGTTGTGGACGGTGTGATGGTCACAGTATTTCTGAGACATGGTGCCGAACAATTTTCACGGTAGCCGTGGATCCTTTGGTGCCTCCTTCAACCCCTTTCTGCTGACAACACTAGGCTGGCAAGATTAGCGTCTAGCCTGTTAGCTTGTGAGAATCACTTACCTTTCAACGTGCTGAGCTGGACGTCAAGTCGACACCTGATCAAGACGGGTATGTTGCCGGGCAGATTCGGTAAGCTGGAGAAGACAAGTCCGAGGGAGTAAGCCGCTTTGGGGGGTGAAATATTCAACGTATTCGGGTTGTCCCTGTAGGGGAAACTCGAGCCTTTATGTTTACAACTTCCGCTCCCTACCCTCACCGTCTTCCGGGTGCGACTTCGGAACTGGGTCATGAAATACGGATGTGGTATTGTATTGCCCTATCGCCGAGTGGCTATTCCTTTGCCTCACATGATGGCTTGCTGCAAATAGAAAACCCAGGACTCCCCTTGCTCGACTGACTCGAGCGGGACTTGCGTATTTTGCCTTCTCTCACCGTCACTCCGCTCTTGAGACCGTCTCTTTCCGAGCCACTGTCCTCGTCGCCACTTGGCGAGGTGCTCACAAGAGACTCTCCCTGAGCACGGCTAGTGGCCAACTTGGCCATGGCGTTCTGCAAACACAGACCAGTAGTCCACTGTGCCGAGACAGTCTGTTTCAATAAATATCCCGCCCCCGAATCACGGACCAACTGAGCCCCGTACATGCTGCTGACGGTCAGTCGCTCTGCTGTGACGAGCCGGGGTAGATCCTGCATGTGGCCTAGATACAAGGGTTCAGCTGTGTCTGTCCCGACTGTCTGGTCCCGAAGCAAAGTCTTCGTCTGGTATGCCAACTGCTTGAATGCACGGCTCTGGAATTATCACCCGAACCACCAATGGCAATATCAGATTGCCGTTGGGTATCCCAAGCCCCGTTAATGTGGCGATTGTCGACGCCGTGTCTACTCGCGGCTAATGAGAAGCCCGACTGACCTGTCACATCGCGATTCAAGCTCTATACATGAAAGTAGTTCCCGTCCGCGGGCTTTGCATTTCATCCACTTGGGATATGGGAGTTGACCAATAGCCGCGTGAGGTTTCAAGAGTGGCCAATACCTGTCGGTGGAGACTGATCCAGCAAATGTAACTCGCCGCTGCCGCCTTTTCTCCTTGGCTTTGCTGTCAGGACGGCCGCCGAGGGATATCGGCTGCTCCCACGATGTTAGGCCCGAAGTACAACAGCCAAGCATATAATATACGTCTTCCTGCCCAGAGCGTCCGAGCTGGTGCCTACGGTGGCGGATCTGGGTGGCGGATCTTGACGGCGCAGTCTCTCCCTTCAATATTGCGAGATATCTCTCTCTTGATTCCTTGGTCGATATTTGGGGGTCCAAATCAGCCAAGTGGAAGTGGGTCGCTGGGTGATGCCCGGCCCGACGGGACCAGCCGAACAGATGACGCACCACCCATGGTTTAGGCCAGGGCAGAGACCGATGTCTATGTGGCATATGCAACTGCCACGGGCCGGACCTGGCGGACCTGGACATGTGGCCATCGTTAATGGATTTGTGGGAAAGCCGAGTTGAGCCTCCGGTGTTGTCAAGTCCACTTATTTCGACTAATCGAAGTTGTGATTCGAGGGAAAGACAATCTCCGGCCTGGCCGACATGGTTCGACGACATCTACCAACGCACACACGCGCAAATACCAGACTCTTGTGGCTCGGGGTGTTCTTTCTTTTTGCTGCCACCGGCGACAGACTGAGGTCCCTTTTCCCGAAGGCCGCTGCTTGCGGTCATTACCCGGGCCCGGTCCCGGACCCGGTCATGTAAGTTCGGATCGGGGCCATTTACCAGTGAAATCCAAGCATGAACTAGACGCCACGTGAGCCATGCAGCGTCCGAATGCGCACTTGGGGCCATTATTATGTCTATGCCCCCACCACCACCACCACATTAGCCAACGCCATGGCGGGTACTGTACGCGGGCGCCGATATTGGGCTTGTTTCTTCTTGGATAACGAACAAATGACGTTAGCGTTACGAAGGCGCATGACTACTACTATCTGGTTCCTGTATATGTCACTTCTAATAACTTGCATTTACTTGTTCTTCCTCTTCTTGCCCACTCCCCTACCTTGATTCGCGTAGAACTCGAAAAAGGCATCTTGGGTCTTTATACGGAGATGTGAACTTATTCTTGAAGACTTTCTCCCTCTCTTGTCCCTTGCCGGTATCCGTTTCCGTTCACGTTGAAAAAAGACACTTCAAGCTAGGCATCTTTCGCAGCCGAGAATTGCTGCTGCTTACTTTACTTAGATAATCTATAGAGGTAAATAAATTTGTTTTGAGATTACTTTGCTTCTTGTTTATTTATCGCCCCGGCATAATAGGTAATGTAATGGAAATACCTTTAACTTATGTAAGTACCTTACCTATCTTACCGTACCTACTAAGTAGGCTAAGCTCCTCCCATAACATTCGGATTAGCCCCCAAACACAGCATGACTCGTGGAGCCTCGCTCCGCATTGAAACAACTCTCCACCCGTGCTTTGGTGAAGCGGTTCCGATAGCTCAGGGGTAGAGCAACCGGCTGCAGTCCGGTAGGTCAGGCGTTCAAATCGCCTCCGGAACTTACAAGATGTAGAGCTTTTATTTTTTCAAAACTTTTTTTTCAAATTTTTTTTAATATATTTATTACTTGTCCTATTTGTCGATATTCCTCCCTCCTGCTCCAGGCCTGTTAGAAAGTGTGGTTTTGCAAAGCTCGGGCTACCCTTGATTGCTGTCTCGAGTTTTGAGACACCAACGTAAGCTGACGAGAACCAGAAGGAGGGGGCGAATGTTAAATAATGGCTCAGCAAGGTACCATGAAATGTACTTGGTAAAGCGTATAAGTTGGTTCGTGAGCATCTAATTAGAGTGTGGTAGGACGCCAAATAAGAACCACTCAGGATGGGAAGAATTCGTATTGCCTCATTTGGGTTTCCCGGTTTAATGTACTGAATGCGGACGGACTCTTGGTTGCCCTGTCTAGACCGGCACCCTCTATGAACGCCTTGAATGCGCCCTGATACTCTTGATATTTGGTATTGCACATGGCCTCCATGGCCTCTCCATACAGGTATCTATCTTTACACATGTACACATACAGCCTGTCAAGACCTGTTTCCAAACATCAAATGTTCACATCAACACGCCTTAGCCCATCCGCTCTGCCTCCTCGAGTAGCTTTTCTACACTGAAGCGGCTATCCCCCTTAGAGAACCACTCCAGCAAGTTCCTGCGCTCCGCGGCGCGCTCCTTGGCCAGGGCGATGGCGTCCTCGTCGCCATTAGAGACAGCGTCGGGGTCCCACCCGCCGTAGAAGCGCTGCAGGCAGAGGACCAGCCACTGGGCGTTCTCGACGGAGACGCCGCGGTCCTCGGCGACGTGGCCCTGCATGAGCACGACGCCCTTGTCGGCGGCCAGGTCTGCGTAGTGCGTGACTGTGGCGTGTGGCGCTGCGAACTCGCCGCGCGCCTTGTACTCGGCCAGATGCGTGAACAGCACCGTTACCGGCGTCCCCGGCACCGACGCGTCCCACGTCCACTGTAGAAAGTGTATCTCGGCGCCCTGTCCCGGGTGCGGCACCGGCACCACGAACTGCGGGAACTGCCGCGCCGTCGCCTCCATGGCCGCGTACGTCCCCGCCGGGATCACCGCGCACAGCGAGTTCGCCTGCCCCGCGTGCCGCAGCCGCCAGATGGCCGTCAGTTCGGGGACCGGCAGCGTGCGGACCTTGGGTAGGTCGAGGATGCCGTCTAGCGGCTTGACGCCCGAGCCCGAGCTCGTCGAGGGGCGGAAGCTGGTGCTGCTGGATTTGGACTGGGAGGATGAGGAGGAGGAGGAGGAGGAGGAGGAGGAGGAGGACGGCGTGCTGCTCTGTGGTATTGGTGGCTGTGGTGGCGGGTGTAGTATGCTCGAGGGGCCGTCGAGGCCGACAGCGGCGGTGGCGGCGGCGGCCTGCTCCCGCAGCGCCTCGATCTTGCCGGCGTAGGCCTTCTTCAGAGCGTCAATGTCGGGGAGCCCTTCCTCGCGCGCCTTGCGATCGAGCTTCTCGCGGTATTTCTCCAGCACAACGCGCTCGGGCGGCTGCGTCGTCGTCAGGAAGCGCACGTCGCTGACCTGTGCCCATCGCCGCTGGTTCGACGCTCGAAGGGTTCGAAGCTGGCAGCAGCTTGTCGTCGTCAGGTGCCGCAGCACAGGCACTCGAGATGCGGTTGCCATGGTCTGCCGTCTGTGGTTGCCCCCCCAATTCGGATCCGAGAGGAAAATGTGTCAAGGGGCGGGCGTTTGAGTTTATCGCGTGGCCGGGGGACACGATTAGACCTCGCGCTGATCGACAGTAAGAGAAACTTCAATTGACGTCGAAGATGGCAAATATCTTCGCGTACAACCCTAACCCTAGCCGGACCATCTCAGATGCTGAGGGGCAGAGACTCCTTGAGGACGGAGTAATACTGGAGAGGGCAGTGAATAACGCAACTGACTAGGTAAGTATTGGACTTTTGACTTGCAGTGAACTAGAGTTCGGAACTCGCACCTTGAGCTGCAGGATGGGATACGTCTATGTACATGAACATGTACATCAAATACGATACATACCATAGTTTACACACTACTAACGCGTCCTTCCTCTCCGGTATTAAACGCGGGGAAACCATGTCACTCATGCACCCGTCCTTTATAAGGGTGATCGACCCCCGGATCTCCAACACACTTGCTGCTCCTCTTCAAGTGAAATACTCCAACGGCTTTGTGTGTATGTACATGTTCCCCCGATTATATTCGGCGGACTAGTCCACGCGCAAAGGGCGGAACCGTTTCGCACGTCCTTGGATCGGGCTACTCGACCACACTACAATTCCTCTTCCCCTTCAACTTCCATTATTAACACGGGTGACTTTCCCTCTTGACATTCCACGCTACCCTAGGCAAGCTAAAATAAAAACAAGGCGCAAGACAAGGCGCGTAACTAGACATACAAGTGTTGAAGACTGAATGTCCGCTCTTGCCCGCCAGAAATCTGGCTTACCCGGGCTCTATCTTCCCAGGGGGAAATAGGGGCAGGAAGCACAATTCCTGTCCTTCTTTCCCCCCTGTCAGAATGACGCTATCAAAACAAAGCAAATCTTCCGTCGACTCGACTCAAGCACTGCCCCTCCTCTATTATGCATCTATGGCTCTAGCCAGCCTGAGCGTACTGTTTTAGTCGCATCCTCTATTCCTCTATTGTTGGGTATCTTTGGGGCCCCTTCCGGGAAGCTGGTTGCGTTCTCTATTGGGACGACTTGAAGACCCATCTCTGGTTCTCGGTGCCTTCAGTGAACGGCACGCCGAGCTCGAAGAGTCGGACAATCACGGCGGCAAACTCCTTGAAGAAAAGATCATTGTCGGCGGCGTACTTCTCAACCCAGCTCTTGAACTTCTTGTCCTGGAGGAGAGCATAGTCGGCCGGGAGCATCATGAGGGACTTGGTGGTCTTGTCCTCGAGCTGTTTTTCATCATGTTAGCCTTCCCCTATTCGACGCGTTGATTTTTTGGTTGGCTGTACTCACCTGCTTGGGGCCGTCCCACTTCTTCCACTGCCACTTCTCGTTCAAAAGGAGCTTGTAGTAGTCGTTGGTCAGTACCGTGGGGGAGAAGGTCCAGGGACCGTCGAAGCCGCTGCGGTCGGTATGGCACCGGCCCAGGGCGTGGGCGCCAGACAGAGCGACAATCTCCTGGTCATTGAAGCCCATGCGGTAGAAGATGTTCCGGAGGTGGTCCTGACCCTGAGCAGCGTCGGGAAGACGTCCATCGGGGGTGCAGGCAGCAGCATCCCTGTCAGACCGACCGGGGCGGTAAGGGATCTGAGGGCCCAGCATCTCCTGGATAGCGCAAACACCAGCGAGGATCCAGAGATCAGAGTAAGTGATCCAAGGGAACTTCTCTGCACGGCTTATTAGCACAATCCCCGCACCTAGTTTCCAATGGCGTGCAGATTGGGGGGCTGGACAAGGCTCCTCGTCCCAATTACATCAGGGGTAGTTGCCACTCACTCTTCACCGGCTCCAAGAAGTCCCGCGCGGCCTTCAAACCCGCATTGGCTCCGTGGTCGCCCTCGGGGGCAAATCGCATGGTGGCGCCGTTGCTGCCTCCGGTACCGGTCTCCTTGTCAAAGGTACCGCTGGCGTGCCATGCCAGACGCACCAGCACGGGGCCGTAGCTGCCGTCATCATAGTCGTCCTTCTCCTCCAGGCGGCTGGCAATCTCGTTGTACACGGCCTGGTAGTCGTCGAACTTGGGGGTGACAACCTTGGGGGTGGCCGAGCCCGAGCTGCCGTTCTTGTAAAACCAAGCACCACCGCCGCCGACGGCAGTCGCACCGACCAGCCAGATCCACGCCGACGACGACGCCGACTTGGTGGGCTCAGACGAGTAGAAGCGGCGTCCGTTCTGGCGGAAAGCGATGCGCGGGGCCGCAGAGAAAGTGGGCCGGGCAGAGGTGCGCAGGGCGCGAGCGAATGTGCGGGTTGCGGAAGCCATCTGTGTGAGAAGACACGAATGTGCTGTCAGAATCGAAGTCTATACGTTGGGCAAGTCGCCAAGTGAAGATGAGTTGGCGAAGTACGTGCTAACGGACAAAAACCAGAGGACAATGGATGGTTGCAAGGGGAAAGAGCTTACTTTGATAGGCGGGTTTGAAAAAGGAAGGAACTGCTATTGAGAAGGGAGGGACTCGGAGTGAACAAAGAGAACAAGGGAAAAAACTAGCGAGAGGCAATTGCAGGTCTTTGAAGGCGAGGAAATATGTAATCAGAATGGAGAAGGATTGGAGTGGCTCGAGTAGCTCGGCTGCAACGTACGGATACCGGGCGAGCCAAGGGGAGAGAGAGGGTGTGCTGGTAGTAGAATCGGATCGAAAAGAGAGACGAAAGAAGGAATTTATCATACACTCACTTAATGGGTCTCGTGTGACTGGTCGAGACAACGGTTTGTGGGTCGAGTACAATGGCGACCCATTCATATTCTTCCATTTTACGTGTAGAAAAGAGTGAGACACGCACCGGAGGGTCCATCGCGGTTCCTCACTCATGGGATGGGGGGTTCCGAGGCGCGGCCAGGCCAGGGGTTATTGTTATCTGACCGAGCCTGCAAACTAGGGGTACCAGGATCCGTTATCTGCAGCCCGACTCACAGTCTCACGGGGTGTGCAAAGAAAGCGGGTGAGCCCGCCGTTTCCTTGGCCAAAAAAAAAAGAGAGCCTCCACATATCGGACCCTGCCGCGTCGGAAGGAATCCATACGGTATGTATGAAAACGGCCATGTCGAAATTGAGCCTCATTGTGGCCTCATCCGCCGCTAGTGGACCCCGAAAAATTATGGCGGCGGTGCATGGCCTTGCCAGGTACTGAACCGCTAAAATCTTGAAGCGGCCCGCTTACTAATTCCCCTTTCTCCGAGTCTTTCGTGGCTCGTGGGAATTCAGAGCCATCAGTTGCCCGAAGCCAAACGGCCCGAGGCCCAGTACGTATTCCGCTGTTCAACGCTCCGGGCAATATCGCCTTGCCACACTGCCCCCATGTATGTACACGACGTGAAGCTTCTGAA